TTTATGTATGTATGTATATGGAATGAGTGAGAGAGAATATATATATATATATATATATGTATGTATGTGTATAGAATGAGTGAGAGAGTGTGTGTGTGTGTGACTGTGTCTGTATGTGTTCAAGTACAGACGCCTGGGACGGCCGCACGGATGTGGCATCCTAAGTCGTATGCGTTGAATAACATGAAGTCAGTAACATCTATAAATAAGTAGTTATACCAATGTTTGTGAGTATGGGACTATACAAGTTTACTAGACTGGGTGTATGTGTTAGTGTGTGTCTACTTGAACAACCTACCTAACCACACGCTCACACATGCATGCACGTGCTTCTCCCGCCACACACCTTCCTTCTGATACTCTCGTAGACTGGCTGTCAGTTGGTGTGGTATAACTATGAGCTTGAAGTACCTAATTGAACAATCTACCTACACTCACCTTCCTTCTGGTACTCTCGTAGACTGGCTGTCAGTTGGTGTGGCATAACTATGTGCTTGAAGTGTCTAATTGAACAATCTACCTACACTCACCTTCCTTCTGGTACTCTCGTAGACTGGCTGTCAGTTGGTGTGGCATAACTATGTGCTTGAAGTGTCTAATTGAACAATCTACCTACACCCACCTTCCTTCTGGTACTCTCGTAGACTGGCTGTCAGTTGGTGTGGCATGGTCATGTGGTTGTAGTGCCCTGTGAGGCTTGCGCTGGTGGCAATGAGTGTGTCTCGCAGTTGTTCGTCTACATCGCCTTCTCCGTCAACGTCGTCGTTGTCCACAGACGCACGTCCATGTTCTGCAGATAGTGTGTCAAGGTGAATTAAACGTTTATGTAGTGGTACACTAAATGTTTATGTAGAGTTTTATGTAGTGCAATGGTAAGTTAAACGTTTATGTACAGTGATATGTAGTGAAGCGATGGGCTAAACGTAAGTTGTACTTTTATGTAGAGTGATAAGTTAAACGTTGGTGTGCAGCTATACGTAAAATGTTTATTTAGAGTGATAAGTAGTAAAGAGGTAAGTTGAACGTTTACGTAAAGTGATACGTTGCATGCTCATGTACAGTGATATGTGGTGGAGTGATAAGCTAAACGTTTATGTACAGTGTACAGTGAAGTAACAGACAAATCGAATGAATGGTCCCACTGGGAATGTACGTATGCGAAGAAATATCGCCATTTCAACTTAGTAGACGTGCCTTATGTAGCTACAATAGATATACACACTTGTACACGTGCATGTACTGACATTACATGTATACTTTTTACTTCACATCTTACATGTATACATGTATTTACGTTATATATACATACACCTATATACAATAACTTTACATTTTGCATGTAGACAATTATTTACGTTATATACACGCCCACAAACGAATGTATATCTACTTTACAATATACATGCACACAATCATCTACATCCTACACACACAGTCTACATCCACTTCAGAACACCCACCCACACATTCCTCCCCGTACACGTGCACACCCACACCCACACGCCCCACCACACCACTCGCACACCCCTCCCTTCACACGCACACACACACACTCCGTACCAGTGACCGAAAACTCGCCGCCCTGGTGCGCCAACAGTCCCATGTACATTAGCAGCTGCAGCAGTGCTGCCCTAACGCGTTCGTCGTAGTCTTCCTTCTCACTGGCACCTCCCACACTGAAGTCGGACTTGCCCGTGGCAGCCACAGTGGTGAACAGCTCCTTACGCACACGCACACGGACCTTGACGGCGATGCGCCCCATGGGCCCTAATTTGAGGGCCTGGGTGCCTATGTCCAACTCTCCCTCAAACAGGACCAGTCCAGACTGCAGCAACGGGTGCATAAACTGGACAACCAGGTACAAACAAGGGCACAGTGCCCAAGAACGGGGCAGAGAGAAGCATTGGGGTGAGCATGCGACTGGTCAATAAGAGATATCATTTGTTCTGTTGTCTGTCTTGAAGAAAGGATTATATATATATATATATATATATTTCTATTTACATTCCTATACGAACACACACACAGCTGTAGATATAAAGCATCTACGCGTGTGCGTGTTCTGCCACCACACCCACAGCCTCTCTAGTACACATGTACGTATACACGCATCTCTTCCCATTGCCGGCATATTCAACTCACCGCTCCCACCTCCACCGGCACTCGCCCTATCTCTATGGCGCCCTTTTCGTCTCTGATGGATATCCTCACAATGGGTGCAGTTGCGGTTTTCTTCGCTTTGCCGAATGCTTTACTGTGCAGAAGAACACAGCAGAGGTCTCAGATTAACTCTTTAACATAGGAAGGCAAATACACAATACTACAGACTGTAGTATAGTGCATGATACTATACTAACACAGCAGAGGTCTCAGATTAAGTATCTGACATAGGAAGGCAAATACACAATACTACAGACTATAGTCTAGTGCATGATACCATGCAATAGTATAGTATAGTGTAGTGTAGTAGACTAGGGTGAATGATGGTATAGTACAATTCAATAGTATAGTGAGCTGTAGTGTGTTACAGACCAAAGTATTAGACTACAATTGCACGCCACAACAATGGTAAAACCCTATATATATAAAACCTAGAAACCTTATACCCTAAAAAAAGATACTTATACCCCAAACCCTAATCTGATGACGCGTGTCACGTTACGACTCGAGACGAGCAGCTCCACAACTCCCAAGCGATCCCTAAAACCCTAAAACCTTATAACCCTAAACAGCCCTACTCACACACCCACCCACCCATTTATACACACACACACACACTCACTCTCTCAAACACTGAACCCCTAAACACTCACTAAGTCGCACAGTGGTGTGTGGTCATACCTGGAGGTCTTCTTTGTGTGTGCGGTTGTGGAGAAGAACACGGTACACTCGGGCAGCAGCACCAGTCGTGGTTGAGTGGGGAAGCACTCCAGGCGAGTCAGGCCCAGGCGACGGGGCCACGGCCTAAGGTCAGCCTCTGCACAGGACACACGCACGCACAAGAGAATAAGGACAAGCGGTGGCAAGGGGAATAGTAGGGTTATGGATAACAACCCTAAAACCCTAGAATCTAAGCCTTTTAATGACAGGCATGCGATGTGAATGGAGAAGGCGTGCAGTGCGAGTCTTCGGGTGCTTGTGTGTCAGTGGTTGTGTTTGTTTTAAACAATTTGCAACTGTAAGTGTACACTACTATGCAGAAACACTAACAACCACACACACACATATATATATATATATATACTGCGCACCCGAAGTGCCGGTGGCTGCGGCTGCGGCGGTGTGGAGCTGCTTGGCCCTTTCCCTTTGCGCCAGACTGGCGGGGCCAAAGGTCTGTCGCAGTCGCTTGAACTCTTCGCTGTCGGCGAATCTCTGCTTCTCCTTTGCGCGTGCGTTGCCATTGGCGCGCGTGCGCGTGGAGGCGGTGGATGGATTGTTGAACACAGACGCTGGGCCATAGGAATACCTACCGATGTAAAGCCAGCAGCCAATGGGGTCATGTCAGTAGACCCATGTGTGGGGGGCGTTTGCATATGTATTGAACTGAATATAAGTTGAGACACCTGGTATATATCGGGAAGGTGTAGATATATATCGAGATACGTAAAAGTCGGAATACTTGGTTTATGTATTAGTTTAAATACTCGGATTATATATCAGTTTAAATACTTAGTTCATATGTCAATTTAAATACTTAGTTTATGTATCAGTTTAAATGCTTTGTTTATATATCAGTTTAAATACTTAGTCTATATATCGGGAAAGTGTAGATTTATATCGACATAAATATAAATCGGAATAGATAACATATGTATCGGGTAGGATAAGATACGGTGTAGCCCATGCTACTACGCCCATGTACTATGAAGAAGTGATAGCCGTAGAGTTGCAGACGCGTAGTTGTTGACGAATTTTTAAAACTGCGGGACATGAAAAAGTCTTGACCCTAAGCCCTGACCCTAAAACCCTAACACTCTGAAATCACTATACATTATATATCATACACTTGTATACAATCGATACACCTTCTATATGTAGACAAATAGATAACTGGAACCTTGAACATGACTATGTACTACAACCCCAAACACTAAACCCCGAACAGGTACTAGGTTGGTTGGTTCAGTAATTCCCCTGGAAATTCAAACATGAATATGTACAATATGGGGATAAGTATGCCATACAACCAAGACAGGTGAACAAGTGTATGATGATATTACACTACAACCAACACAGGTGAACAAGTGTATGATGATATTACACTACCACCAACACAGGTGAACAAGTGTATGGTAATATTACACTACAACCAACACAGGTGAACAAGTGTATGATTACTTTACGCTTTAACCAACACAGGTAAACAAGTGTATGATGGTATTAAATTACAATCAACACAAGTGAACAAGTGGATGATAATATTACACTACAACCAACACAGGTGAACAAGTGTATGATGACTTTACACTACAACCAACACAGGTGAACAAGTGGATGATGATATTACACTAAAACCAACACAGGTGAACAAGTGTAAGATGACT